TGGATCACGGCCTGGATCATCCCTGTCATGTCATGAATCTTTGACGTCACATCATGAATCTTTTGATTCATGTCATGAATCTTTGTACAATTGAAAAGATATGGATTAGACCAACAGCCACAGAAACCCAAGTAACCTTTTTGTAAGGTGCTGTTTAAATAGCCAAGAAGAATCCATATAGCTCCAGAAATCATTTCTTGTTCATAGTCATCCATTTGAAATGAGCTGTTGTCTCTAACAGGTGCATTTAAGAAAATCATACAGCCTCAGTACAGTACAACATGTGAGATAGTGCTCATGCTAAGCAAGGCCTAGCATAATTAACAACGCACTAAAATGCCCAGAATGCTTCAAGGAGGTTGAGAAGTCAGCGATTGACATTCTGGTGGTCACTATCTGACCCTTGAATAAAAATGCTGACAGTATGATAAAAATTGCAAGCAAAGCAGTTTTTTAAAAAAATACGGAAGTGCAAGGCTAAACCGCAAGAACAAAAAGAACTATATATCATGCTGATAAAGTCTGGGGAATATTATAAATAGACTATTAGAGATTAACATAAGAAGTGTAACCAATTATAATAAAGAGCGTGTAAAATATAGATGAGTTAACTAGTAACCAATAGAAATAATAATTAGAAGTGCATATGTATATGTGTTATCGCTATATAAGTAATAGTAAAGTTATGTTAAATGCTTCACTCAGAGATAGCGTGGGGACAGTTTTGTATCTTTTGTCTAAGAAAAAGATAAGGGACTCCTTTAAAATGAGCTGTTGACCAGTCCTGAGACTACTGAATCGGGCAGCCGCACCTAGCCTTCGGGTTAGAAAGCAAGGGCCTGATTTGGGAACCTTGTGAACCAACAGACCCCCTTAGTTTATGACTCTGTGAAACAATAAAAGTTTTAAATTGAACATCCAGGTCTGAGCCTGTGCTTAATTCAGTCCTTATATAATTCAGCACGAACTCACGTACAACACACCTGCAAACTCATTCTTTTTATGGGTATACTAAAAATCAAGAAAAAGAGCAACTTTTACAGGTGCCCACAGCATAACCATGGAATAAAAATATTTTGAAAAAATAGCCATTTACCTTGATATAAAATCTTTCTTCATGATTCTCATTAGTAAGTGACTGTGTAAGATAAGCATATGCAGTACTGGCTGGTTGCTGAATGTGCATCTGCGTGGTTTGCAAACTATGACATATAGCCCAGAATGGATTCACTATAACTCTCTGTAACTATGTGGACTTATGTGATTAAGAATATAATGTCCTTTAACAGTACAGTTGTCAATGTTGAAGTAGAGATGTAGTGCCCAGATGAAACCTCCTAGTCCTTTTTAGTGGAGTTGCAATGGAGTTAATGAAAGTTTTGATTTTGAACTTTAGAATTAGGGTCTCAGAGTACTTTTCTCTTTACCACATTCTGCATATATGCATTATCAGTAGCCAGCTTCCACTTCTCTATGTGCAAAATTATATGTATGTGTATGTGTGAGTTCGTGATCACCAGAAAGTCAATCGCTGACTTCTCAACCTCCTTGAAGCATTCTGGGCGTTTTAGTGCGTTGTTAATTATGCTAGGCCTTGCTTAGCATGAGCACTATCTCACAGTGTACTTGCATCAGTAATTTGGAATAAGACGTTTGGACAACAAGTATTGCATACATGCATTCTTGGGGAAATCCATCTCCTGCCTGCATGAAGAAGTGATAGCAGTCATATTGGCAAGGTCCAGTGAGTCCAATGTGTTTCTGTGAGTGAAAATGCCAAGACTTGGATGTGTATTGCAGAATCTACCTATTCAAAAGGTCTGTCTGAATATCTTAATTTTTAAATGGATTTTTCCCTTGTGGCAGGCCCCCACCCAACTTACCTCTGTGTGGCAGCCCTGGTGGTCAGACTACAACCGGCACAGCTGCTGCTCCTCAGCCAGAGAGCCAGCCCTTGACTGCAGCATGGCCCAATGGCTGCATGGTAAAAAATGGTCTGGTGGCCAGGAACACAGCAGGAAGTGTCTGGGTGCCAGAACCGGAACCAGATGTGCTCCTTACCACTGGGAGCACACAGCCACTGCTGAATATGCCAACTGGTGAGCCAAAGGAACAGGCCCAAGCCTGCCCGAGCCTAAAGAGGGGAAAAACAGAGGGGCATCCAGGCCCCAGACAGAAGAGCTGGCCTGGGTGCCCCTCTGGATGCCCCAGGGCAGTAGCTGGCCTGGGGCCAGACCAACTCGCTGTGATCAGGCAACCTGCACCAGAGCAGTAGAGTCAGCCAGCCAGTGCAAGACCGGAGCCTACTACAAGTAAGGTCAGCTGGGGACAGGAGAGGGTGGCCAGACAAGGCTGCACCCTGGAGGGATGGCCCATGATGCCCTAGCTTCCTGACAGTTCATCCGCACACCTGAAGTGCATCATCAGGGGACACCCACTGCTGGCCATGAGCAGGCCCAGCAGGGAACACTTGGAGCCCCTGGGAAACCTGGCCAAGGCGCAATAAGGAAAAGCCATGGGGAAAAAAGAGCTAGACAGAAAAAGGGGAACAAAGGGTTGAGGAAGCAGACCCATAAACCCCAATGCTCAGAAGCAAGCAGCTCGGGGGGGCGGTGGGGGGATGTGTAACGGAGCTCTGCCCAACACTTAGTTTGAGCCACAGTGAGTAATGTTGGGGTTTTTTTTTGTGTTAGCATTTTTTCTCTAAGTGTAATGGGTCACAGCAAGCTCCTGTGACACTGAAGTATCATCCCACTGGTGCATCAGACCACCTGCAGCAACATCAAGGAGCAGCCTGGGATTTATGATGATAACACTCAAATGGAAAGGGGTGGGACATAAGGAAGGAGGAGCCACCCAGAAGACGCACCAAGGAGGGTGCTCCTGAGACTGTAAGAACCACTGAGAAACATTATAGAGATACATATAACACCCAAAGTAGTGATGGGTGAGCAGGCTCAGGGGCAGTCCACCCCCAAGGTGGTGGGGTGAGGGCCTGTCACATCCCTGACAAGGTACCTTTACAAATAAAGCATGTGGTTTTGTGCATGCAAGTGGAGAATGGGTAGAGAACTGGTTGACATTTGGGGCCTTGTTACACATGACATGTTAAGCTTCTCAAATGTTGATCAGTGTTAGTGTTAGCTTAAGTTTAAAGTAGGTACACACACTCAGCCTAAAAACCTTCTCTGAGGTGCACAGCTGTGACTTGCCACTAGAGGGTTGGCGAGCAGGGGCCTGACTAGGAGCTACAGCAGTGAGTTATCCACACAGAATGGGAGGGTGGGGGGAGGAGGGGACATTGAATTCTGGGATGCTGGAGGACTGAAACTTGGGAGGCTTATCTCTGGGGAATGGTCACACATTCATGGAACATGAGCTGGGATACACAGATCAGAGCTAAACCTTCCCTGAATGGGTGTAACTTTAAGATGCCTAAAGAGTGATTAAATCTAGTTTACATGTCTTAAATGTATCGACAGTTCAAGGGTTAAGAGCTCCTTGAGCCACCTAAAATTAATGTGTAGCAAAGCCCTTGATCAACTGTCTAGAGGAAAATATACAAAGGGAGTAGTGAGGAGAAATGCATTGTCAAACCTAGTTAAGTTTTATTTGGCTCTTGCCTTTGTGCTTCCTGAGAAAATACCAAGAGTGACAGACACTACATCTCAAGTACCATAGGTAATTGGTAAGGACATGAGTAGCTGTTGCTATATCTTCACCAATAAAAAATGTGAATTAATTCATAGTAAGAAAATGTGTCAATCTATTGTCAGAAGAACCTGGCTTTGAAGTACAAGAGCCATGTCCCTTCTGCAATAAATGATGTGCCTGCTTTAAAAAGGAATCCACACCTCAAGGTCACAGATATATCAATATTATCAAAATAACTCCAGGAAATTGTGCAGCACTATCACAAATATCTTTAGAACTGAACTGACGTCAGGCCTAGTCATCTCAAGCAGGTCTTGCTCGAGAGGAACAAATGGTGAAATTAATCCTCAAAAGTGCTGAGCACCAAAGACTCTATTTGATGTCACTGGGAATTTCAGATGCATTCATATTAAAATCTCCATTCAGGAGCAGCCCCATCTCCTCCTAATACCCATAGGTCAGATCTCATTTGTGGCATACATTTAAGTCAGAGAGACTTTCAGTGTGGTGAGCAGGATTTGTTCCAATTCTGTAGTCTTAGTTTTGTTCATATCTCACTGTTAGTCTTGTCCATTGCCACCTTTATTCTAATGTTCCTCTACCTATCGGAGATCACTCTAGAGATCCTCCACCTCTTCCGCCTTGTGATGGTTTCTGAAGAGATTTTCCTCCACACACTTTAATCCTACCTTCATTAAAAGTTTGTCTCCTTAGAGGTCCTTTCATCCAACCATCTCTAGTTATTTCCAGTTCCTTTTTTCCTTCAGTTATAACAGAGAACAATTCTGAGTTAAATAAAATATTGTTCACTGTGTGACAGGCTCCAGACCTACTTACCGCAGTGGTGGTGTCCATGTGGCTGGTCTGTGGGTGAGCCGATCAGCACAATGCAGCCAGAAGGTGCTCTGCCAGTTGGCCAGGTGCGAGAAGGCTTTGGGCTTAAAGGAAGCCCAGAAGAAGAGCCAAGGAAAAGACGAGTGGAAGCACTGGCAGTGGAGCCAAACACTCTCCCTGTGGCCGGAAAGGACCCAGCACAGCCCTGCAAGGGCAGCACATGTTCATCTCACCACTGGAGCACCCAGGAAGGACCCAGACACATGCCACAGAGCCAGCAGGGATCTGGTAGCTCTCCCAGGGGTTAAAGTTCCCAAAAAAAGTTTGGATGCCAGGACCACCCAGGTGGCACTGGGGACTCCAGCAGGTGCCAGGTTGATTGCTGCAGCTGGCGAGTTGAGTGGCCCAGACTCGATACCATTCTCTGGCACCTGCGATAACCCACACAAGACTACACAGGTCAGCTTGGGCTGGGAGAGGGCAGCCCAGTGGGCACTACTGGAGCCTACTGAAGGGAGAGCCCGCAGGGGACTGGAAGACTTGTGAGCATCATGCAGGTGCAGAGAGATGCACCTTGAGGCATGATAATACCTGGCCAGGTGGGACTCAGGCCAGAAAGCATCCCCAGCAAGGGGCATCACTGACTTAAGAATCTGTGGGAGAAGAGTGCACCAGGCACTGACATACCCCACATGCTGAAGAAAAGCTCTTGGCACGGGAGCATTGCTGCCATGCCTACCATGCCATCTGACCTATTTTAGTTGAATTATTGTTATATTATGATTTTTTTTTTCTGGCAGGCAAAAAGACCCAGGTGGGACATAGCCCAGGAGGTGGGGCATACCCATCTGCTGGTACAGCGGTAGTGAGCCTGTCACACACGGCTAGGGAGAAATGAGTGACCAGACCATATCCATTCTATCCCCCCCAACAGGCATGCACACGCACACACACACTTTTGAAGAAAGAAAAAGGCATTAGGACTATTTTCATGAAAATACCTCAGAGAAAACAATGTTATAGACTCAATTTTGCTAGCTGGACAAAGAGCAAAAGAGAACAATCATAAATACCATTACACTAGCTTGGAGCGAGGGTCCAAATACTGATAGTCAAAAGTTCTGCCTCCATTACTGATGTCTTGAGGTAGCCTGAGATCATATTTTTGGTATTGGCGTAGTGCTTGTGATGGGATATAGGAGTGCACGGCATGACTGAGTACAAAAGAATGCCGAGCTGGTCTTGTACTGTTACACCTTTCTCTGTCTTCTAATTCTTTTTTGTTAAATTCCATGTATGATGGCATATAGACTTTCTCTTTCAGCTGGCTGCTTGGTTCATACTGGCCTCTAGAGGGAGGCTAAAAAACCAAAATAACTCTAAACTAGGAAGCAGAGGCACTCTTCAGAAGTGATACCAAACAGAAGAGACCGAGACCGAGACCGAGACCGGAGACACAAGTAGTCCTGCTTATTATTCTTTGCAGGTCAGTAGACCTTAATTTAGTGTTTTAACTATTGACTAGGTTAAAATAATAGGGTATTTGTATAGTTGGATATTTAGAAATAGTATTCCTTTAGTGTTTAAAATAGTGGAGTTTAAAGTGTTTACACTACACTCTAAAACTGAAACTAGTTACAGCCTGACATTTCTGTTGTAAGCAAGAAGCTTGAGGTGTAAGTCCTGCACTTGGCATGTTGGTATAAAATTTCCAGTGGAGTTAATGGGAGTTTTGCATGTAGGATCACTCCTTAAATAGATAACTGAGAGAATGAGTCTCACCTTCCCTGTCCTGAGGCCTCACACCTCATGCAGTTGCCCCCTCTTTTCAGAAAAGCCATCATGTTGGGCTTAGTGTTCCCTGTGGAAAAAAGAGAGCCTTTATACTAGCATGGGCTGTAGGATATTTTCCTGCCTCATGTTAATCAGCCTAATTCTGCCCTCACTATATGCTTTTTGGACAAAGCCATAAATCAGCCTAAGCTCACCAAGCTGTTTGTAAACCTCCACAACCTGAGCCCAAGTCTGAGCTTTTTCTGGGTGACTCACATTTGAGGGTTTTGTTCTGAGAGTTGCATATGGCTCTGATTGTGAATATCTTTAAAACATGAGTTTCCAATGGGAAAGGTGACATTTTAATCAGTTTGACTCTCTTTTCAGTAACAGGAAATTGCAAAAGAAATGCCAGCTGCCTCAGATAACAAATAAACAGCTTAGCAGTTGGTGGGGAATGACCAGCTGTGTCACTAGTTAAGAGCTGTAAACCTGAGTCTCCCTAAGGAAATCTGAATCCTTTGGGGGGGGTGGGGGGAGGGGGGTGATGTCCTTGGTGTTGCTGCTGATACTTTGCCTATATGCCTGGGTCAGATTCTGCCCAAGGCAAATAATTTCTGTAGCTGGGCTAGTTTGTTCATTTTTTTTCCATGGGAAAACTTACTGTGGGGAAGCAGGAGATGGCTTTTCCAACAGTCCCCAATCCCCCAAGAGAAGGAGAGTGGTTCTTAGAAGACCTGCTGCAGGTTAGGGCAGTCCGAGTGGAGCTCCTGTGCCCCTGTCTTGTCTCAGTGACAGCACTGCACCTAGAGAGGGTATGGATGGTATCCTCCACTTGCAGGCTACTGCTTTGTCAAATCCTGGAAGACATGTTTCAGTGATGGGGACATCTCTGACTGGATCAGCAGCAATATATCACCCTCCAGAGGCAGGAAGAGGAGAAAGAGAACACAGTGGGAAGCTGCCTATCTTCCCAACTCTGCCGCCACCCCATAGTCTCTCCAGTGTGCTTATGGAAGCATTCTGCAAGGGACAGAACATGCAGCACAGCAGGCATCCCCCCCTTGTCTTTCTGCATGCACCTACGGGGGCACTGCTGGGTTTTGTTACCCTGCACTTGTAGAAGCAGAAGGTAGCCAAGCCGGCTACATTACTTTTCTTTTAATTGACTCATTTCTGCGAGGAGTAGTGTTCTGGATTCTGATTTAACTGAAGTGTTGATAATGGTTCCAAGCTAGAAAGCACTGTAAGCATCAGTATCTGCAATGTGAATTGTAGCTATGTAAGATATAGGAAGGTTTACTGAGGTCTTTAAACATATTAGTTTCTTAAAGTGGAAATATAAAGTGCACTGGCCAACCAGCATTCACAAGCATGAGCTGATCCAGGATTTGGAAAAGGGGGTGAGAAAGCAGTGATCAGAATTGCAGGGGTGACTACACCCCCTCTCCCAGCTTTCCCCTGCCCCACTGAGGCAGGCAGACTATGCCACAGGAGCAGCAGCTGTGGACTTTTTGAAGACTCGAAATTGGGTAAGAATCTTCCCGCCTGCTCTTGGCATCCCCTCCCTTGCCCTCCATGCTCAGTGGCATGTCCTCTCCCTTCCCATTCATCCCCTTAGCCCAGTACTGCCACTGTCTCCAGCTACTCCAGAGGTGGGCCGAACTCCAGAACTGCTCCTGCCTGGTCCAGGCCAGTCCATGGGGAGCTGGGCTCAGCCAGAGACAGCAGCAGTGGCAATGGGAAGGTTTGCCTTCTCTGAGTCTGTCCCCACGCTCATAGGGAACCCCTACAAGGGAATGGGCAGGAAGGAGGACCTGCCACTGCTGCTGTCCAAGAAGTCCCTGGACAGAATATGTTGCTGAACACAGAGGGAAAGGATGCTGGGAGGTGTGGACTTGTTACCTGATTCAAGAGCTTAAAAAAATCCCTGGCTTCTGTTCCTGCTGCATGGCCTGAAAGAAAGGCCATGAAGCAGGAACTGCACCCCTTTTGGATCCACCCCTGTTCATATGTAATGCCACATTCATGGTCCTTTGTACCAAATGAAAATGGTTTCTAAAGGCATGAATGGTTGTTATTATTATGGTCAGTCTGCAGCCGAAGTAGGACCAGACCTTATCATCTCCTGGCTCCTAGCACTAATCTTTTTACCCTTTTAACATTTTGCTCTGAGGTAGAAAAGGACTTTTCAGCTTTTTCTATGTTCACAGTTATGTAACTTTGAACAAAAGGGGTTTTCAGTGCCTGCAAACCCACAAATAGCAACAAAACAAAACAAAACAAAACAAAACAACCCGAACACAACTTCATTCCAAATTTCACTGAATGATTTTGAAACTTTATAGAATTGCTCCAATCATCCTAATTTTTTAGGTGGGACAATAGGCAAAGTTCTGTTGGGGGAAAAATCATTATACGTATTTCGCCAGATCTATTGAGTATTGGCTTTCTGTGTTTTTGGGGGTGGGACCTGGAAAAGAGGAGGGAGGTCTATTGTCCTCCCATTTTCCACTGCTTCCCACCACACTCTGAGTATGTGGCAGAGCCACCCAGCATTTTGTGGGTCTTCTGTGAAAGTGAGTGAAATGTGAGGCCACATTAGGTCTATCTGGCAACACTCCATAAGTCCATCTGTTCTTTTCTCTCATATATTGGTGTACTCACCACTTTGCAGTGAAGGCAGTTAGACTACAAATGGTTAATCTCTCACTACAGTCTTTCAAGCAGTACTTTCTGCCCCATGATAAAACACCAGATAATGTATTCCAGTTGTAAATGTCATTATCATCTGCCTTTTGCTTTTGTTTAGGTGCTGATAGACTGGGCATAACTTACCTTCCTGCCCTCTGTGAAAAGATGTGGTTATTCTTCATTTGCATTTTATATTTGTTCCTGAAACCTATAGGAACCATCTGTGGCCACAACAATTACACAGAATACCAGCTGGGCAACATGAACATAATTATTTCTGTTCCACATGGTGGAGCAATGGAACCTGAAGACATCCCTGATAGAGATGCTGGTTGTTGGAATGCAAACAGTTCCTCTTGTATCTTCTCTCATGACTGTCCTCCAGGAACCATTCAAGACTTTCAAAAGTGCAAGGTGGCTACAAATCAAGACAGGTATGTCATAGAGGTAGGTCAGACTCTTGCTGAAGAAATCAGAAAGATTACTAAGGGCTTCATCCCTCATGTGGTTATAAATCATCTCCAGAGATTCAAGATGGATGCTAACAGAGCAAAGGAAGAAGCTACCTTTGGAATTCCCCAAGCAGAAGAGGCCTGGGAAGACTATATGGGGTTTATGAGGTCTGCAAAATTGCACATGACAGAAGGCCTTATTGCGGATATCCATGGCCAAGCACACCCTGAACAATGGATAGAATTAGGCTACACCATTTCAAAAGCATCACTCAATTCAGGGCTATTTTCTGCATCAGGCTCTTCTATTCAATATCTTGCCAACCAGCTGGGCAATGTCACCTTTGAATCATTGCTTAGAGGACATAGAAGCCTGGGTAAATTTATTGAAGATCAGAACAAAATGTATGTTTGTGTTCCTTCTCCAACCAATCCTAGTCCAAAAAATGGGAATTATTATAGTGGTGGTTACATTACAAAAACTTTTGGCTCTCGATACTCTGGCACTGTTGATGCCATTCAGATAGAGCTGCCTCAGTGGGTAAGGGACATCAAAGAGAGTCCAAAATTTAGTAAAGCACTAGCAAAGGCTATAATGAATTTCTGGCAAACTAACTACTGCATCCACAGCAGCCATCAGCTTTTGGGATGTTGAAAGAAAAAAAAAATTACTTACATTGCATTGGCTATTTTGTAATCTATGGTAATTTTATCTGATACACTGGAATATAGATTTCTATCCAACTGACTTTTAATTTAATTGACTCTGAATTCTTTAGAAGTAAAGTAGTGGTCAAGAGGCAACAAAATACAGGATACAAAGGAATGCAATTCTGATGGCAAAGTAATACAGAAAGAAAAAAAATTTGCTAATAGCAACAACTCAGTTATTAAATTAATATTTGTTACCAGATTTGCCCATTACTTTGGGGTGTGCTCATTTATTTGGGATACGTTTCTAGGGTCTTGGTAATTCTATTAATGTGCTGCTTGTGTTACTTGTGTTTCTACACGGAGCTGTATCTCTCTGTTCTGCAAGCCCTCACCCCCAGTGGAGCTATCTTGCAGGACTCAGTTTCAGTGGGGCTGGGTTCCTCCAGTCATCAAATCAGTCATACACACAAAAACACACAGATTAACGTGACACACCTGACCTGGCCAGGTTGATCAGCATGGACAGGCTGACACCCTCATATGCCAAGAATCAG